TTCTACTTTTCAATTACAATTACAATTTTCATAATTTTGATACTCAATATAAGAATGCGTCATAAGAATTTTTTTGATTGTTAGGTGAATGTACAGCATATTTAAGTGTTATAACTAATGTTTAATATTTATTTTTGAAATTGATGTATAAATGTCGTCTTCTGATTTATTAAAAGTATAAACGTGTTATCGTCTAGAATAGATTCTCCATTATGTACATGGTTTTATATATAGTATGGCTTGTATACACCACGAGTAGAAGAGAATACCAGACATCTACTTAATTTCTTAAGAGCACTAACCTATTTATTATTATTCAAGACGTGCAAATTACCTACTAACCAAGTAACCAACAAACCAAAACTAACAACAAAAAAACAAGCTGAAACTACAAAACAACTTCTAAACACTCTACATCAATCACCTAGGGAAAGAAACTAAATTTTTTCACATTTCCCATTGTTCATTAAATTTGACGAAAAAAAAATCTCATTGAAAAACCCGTTACGTGTGTATAGATTTTTTCAAAAAATAAAAATAAAAATAAAAATTACTCTCCATCTTTTTCTCTTTCCAGGCTTCTATCTTCAGATTTGCAGGAATTTTTCCTCTGCTAACTCATCTTTCCTTGTTCTTATATCTGATTAGATATTGCAAGCCAATACTACTTTGTACTAGATCTTACTATTCTAAATATTAAATTAAGTCAAGAAATTGTTTCTCCATGGTCTATGAAACGTATATATTGGCATAAAGAACCATATAATCGCACGCATGTTAAAAATTTAAGCTTCTGCATTCATCTAATTGGCTATAGTTAATCTCAGATTTTCAGTTGCTAAGTTCAACATTTTTAGTTGACCCATGGACAAGGAAGAGACTGATCAGAATAATAAATTTTTAACCGATGCTCCTAAGTTGTTGAGATAACTCAGTAAACCAACTAACCAGTCTAACCTATAACAAATTTGTCTCAACAGAATAACAGATTTTTCCAAAATTAAAATTTTTAAATTTTTTTAATTAAGCCGATTTGCTATAAACAGAACTGTTAGATGAAAAACAAGTTACAAAGGTTACTATGAAAAATATGAAACACAGTTTGCCGAGTAAACCTGGAAAACGAGGAAATTCCTAGCCTTGACGAGTATTCCGAGTGATCTCAGCTTCGAATTATACTCATCCCAGGAAACGCTCTTCCCATCAATTCGATACTCGCTGCCGCCGGTGCTTGTGATTGTCCTCGTAAATTGAAGCTCCGACCCATTTCCCATCTGATACACGAGCCGCACAAATGCCCTCCGCCCCTTCTGTTCCTTTTCCCTGTCATCGAAAGCGTAGATTAGGTCCTTCAACTGCGCCCCACGTAATTGGCCAGTCCGCACACCAAGCACGAAGCTTATAGCATCCATGAGGTTCGACTTCCCAGCTCCATTGGGGCCAATAATGGCAGTGAAATCATAAAAGGGCCCGATTGTTTGATGACCCTTGTAGGACTTGAAATTCTCGAGCTCCAATCGGAGGATCTTCCCGGATGAAATCAGGGACGGCATGCTGTGCAGAACCTTAAATCATGTAGAGAGAACACTAAGAAACACAAATACGGCGAAGTAGAAGCAGCAGAATCTATAAAACTTTGCGAATAGCTAAACGAATCGCCATAGCAAAAATGTCAAAAGGGTAAACGAAGAGTCACCTGAAGAAGCGAACTAGGGCTTGAACTGAGGAGGCAGAAGTAACGAGTAGTTCAATAGAATTCCGGCGAGAAAAATGATGGCTCAGTGGAAAATTGAATCTCTTCCATGGAAATCAGAAATTGAGGGAGTGTGGAAGCAATATCGAGAGTGGAGTGGAGAGAAATCCGCGGAAAATTGGCGGGAGAAGATGTTTTTGGTAGGAATTTTATTGGGTGTTGAGATGAAAAACGCCTTTTTTATCGATCAGCTCTTGATTCCGTGATAATAATTTTTGCTGTTATTATTTAAGAAAATATTATCTTTTACTTTGTATTAATTTTCTTCACGAATGAGTCGAATTCAACCCTCGATTTAGATAACTATGGCAAATTTTACTCTCTTTTTAATTCTTGCTAATTCGTCCATTAATTTCAATAACAGATAGTATTAAAAAAATAAAAATAAAAAATAAAAAACAACACTTCGAAAGTTTAGGGAAATTTGGAGTTTTTAACCTCATCTTATTATGACTCTTTCGGATTAATGACCATTTAATCTAATTTTTTACCTTTTTACTTTTTGTCACTGTACAATTACCAAAATATCCATATTTTTCCAAAAACAAAAAAAAAAACGAAACAAAACAAAAATGTTCATAATTTTGTTCTCTCACCCACCCCAATGAATTACAAATCTAAAAATATAACATTTAATTTTAAAAATGATTACAAATTGGAAAAAAAAAATCACAATGATAATTAATTACGAATTTAATATGAACAAATCCTATTAAAAATATCTTTTGTCAAAATAGAATTTGCAAAATCTCATCACAAGATTAAAGGTTCGGAAGATTAAAGGTCCGGATTTAACTAACAAAAAGACAATATTTCATGAATCTCAGGTCAAAATTGCGTATTAAGGTACAATTTAATTAAAGGTAATGCTCGTATTAAAACAAAAATGAGATATTTTCCATATTAGGTTTGTAAATCAACATTAATTCACTTATAATTTACCTTTTCATGAATTTCTAAAATTTTGACTCATTTTATTAAAATGAAAAAAAAAAACAAAAAGAGAAAAATATATATGGAGAAATAATAAGTTAAAAGGAAAATTATCCTGAAATTTAGGATTGTTTGATAGGCAACCTGATCCTGTTTTTATAGATTCATTAAACAAAATACATGTAATGAATGTTTTCTGTTTTTCTAGATTCATTAAATAAATTAAATCAATATTTGTTTGGTAAATATATTTTTCAAAATTATAATTTTTAGATTGTGTTATACATTTAGCATTGTTTGCTAAATATGTGATATGGAAATTTTTTATGTTGTTAGCTTCGAAGATTTTAAATTTTAAATTTTAAAATGTAAAATTACATTTAAAAGGTATAAATTCTAATAAATATATTATTTCATATTATAAATTCATTATTTTGTTAAAAGAAAAACAAAATATATTATAAATAATATAATATTATAAAATAAAAAAATTATACTGCGTCTGTGACATATATAACATTTTAAATTCAACTGAATATTTAATTAAACTAATTTATCAATATATTACTAAACGTATTCAATTTTTTAAATCAATATTCAGTTTATAAATCTGCTACTAAACACAAACTCAAAAAATACTCAAAACCGATACAATTCTATTTTTTATCGAACCCCTTATTTTCAAATTTTTGTTTTTAGATTATCAATCAAACCCACTATTACTAATGTAATGAATTTTGTACAAATTTAAATACGACCGAGACACAAAATCAACCATTAAACAACCCCAACAAAATTTACAAATTTTCAAAGAAAAAATATAGTTTTGATGTCATTATTGTCTAAACTCTATAAATTTCATACTAAATTTATGTTTTACATGGCATGTAATACTTTTGTCAACATGTTTTCATAAGGAAAAAAAAAAACTCTATTGTATGATAAAATAGAAAAAAAGAAATAAATAAAAGCGTCCCACCATTTTAAGTTGGGAAGATTGCAATTTGCAATACTTATTCGAATTTAAAGAGCACTCTTGTGACATTAAAAATTTAGAGTCACCTTTCCAAATTCATGGTTAGACTTTATTTTTTTACCTATTATTTATTAATAACAACTCAGGCGTCACGGTGTTATGGCTCGATAAATTACAAATAGCGTTTGATTTTTTTTAAAACGACGATTTTTACAAGGGAAGACAAAATCTAGAATTAAAACTCACACCGAAGAAATCGATATAATCGAACAATATTTGTAGTCAGTATCTATCTTTAACCACTAAATAAAATTTGATAGTTTTTTAAATTTTTGAACAACACGAAAAAAATATATATTTTCCTTCATTTGTCTCTTATCGATCTCCAAATCCTACCACATATTGAAGAAATACTATAATAAAAATTATAGGTAGGTCGTCATCACTAGATTTTAACCTTTTGTCTCCAAAGTTTCAAACAATTTTTCCTTGATCTAATGGCACTAGTCAATTCATGGTGGTTGTAATTTTTACTTTTTTTCTTTTAGGAAAAATATTACATCATAAATAAAACTGAAGAAACTAAAAAGTCCGGCCAAACTAGCTAGGAGTGATAGAACTTCACTCTTCCGTCAATTCGAAATCCATCGCACGTTTGGCTATCTCATGTGCCACTTTATTTGACTCTCGGCTAATATGTTTCATCGATACAATCTCCATCTCTTTTGTCAAATGTCAACTTTCTTTAAGCTTCCAAATAATTTATTTTTGATCCCTATAAATGTCCATGAAGAAATTGAATCCCCCCTAAAAAAATCAGATTCCAAATGAATCGATCGACAATGAGCTTCTCAAAGTGCTTTTAAACCCTCGACGATCACCATAACCTCAAGGTAAGGTACATCTCTTTCCTCTTGTATAACCCTGCAACCTGCTCTGATGATTTATCCTCTCTCATTTCTTAAAACCCAACCTATCCAAACTATAATTAAAATATCTGTCAATTGCTATTTGAATTCCGTTGATGACTACCAAATGAAATAAAAATATAAACTATAGCCAAAAAGAGCCACACTAAATGCCTTCCCTATAGGTCGAGGTTTAAATTTTCCGAAATCTCCACCTTGATCTTTGCAAAATGCTCCCCCTCACACACTCAGTGAACACCCTATTCATAAATAAACATTTTTCATTATTTATGTGGTATCTCAATTCAATAATTAAACAATTTCCCACCTACCCTTTAAAAAGTTGAGTTGGTTAACTCAATAGTAACCTAAAAAGAATTCCAAAAGTATAAAGAATTAATACCAACGGCCTAGARTTTAATTAAGAAATTTTAAATATTTAAAATTTTAGAATAATTACCAAAAAGAAAAATGAAACTTTGGGATAGATGGAAAATACTCAATTCACCGAGTTGTTCCAAATAATCAAGACGGCTAGTTATTAACGAAATTGCTTGCCAGACTCTCTGTAAAATACTCATTATAACGCAATGAATAGAGAAGGTATAGTAATGCTACGAATTACCCAATATCGAATACTGGTGATAATATCAGCAAAAGAACGTTCTCTAGTGCTTCCAGACATGTCGAGCTCCACATATTCTTGTACATTCAAAAAGTGATCGATTGTGTAAAAATGAGTTCAGTAAATGGAAATTAACTGAAATTTTATCTTTATAAGATCGTCAATAATGAGGGTATTTTCAAAATACATTGAGTTCACATAGTACTCAACCCAAACGGTAGTAATGCAACAAAAAGGGACTCTTATTTTGCAATTAGAATACAAACAAACAAAGAAAAAAAAACCAAATCTTTAATTAATGTGAGAAGATGATTTTTTTTTCCTTTGAGAATAATATAGAAATAAGTTAAAGAGTAAAATTCCAACTCTTGCTTTCCAACATCCCCACCCTGTTAGGCGGGGACCCATCGACAAGATAATGGACATCCCTAATGATAGGCAGCAACAAATAATGATCCACAAATTTAGCAAATACTAGCGAACTTGGATATAATTTCATTACCCTCACCAGCAAGACTTAACAATTCAAAAAGATAATATATCATTCCGTTCAATATTCAACCTTAAATTAAATTTAAAGGCCATTTAGAAAAAAAAAAATAGTAAAACCAAAACAGCCACAATACAAGAAGACTATATGATAAGGGCAATACCCCATCATGATCATCAACGCAATCTCCTAGCTTCTCTCTCAGACTCGAGCAGGGTCAGAATATCGCCTTCCCTCACTGGTCCCTTCACATTCCTCATGATGTAACGATTTTGATCATCAAGAAATTTGACTCTAACTTGAGTTACCTGCCCCCTTGATCCAGTTCTACCCATTACTTTCACCACCACAGCATGTTTAATCTGAGATTCCATCCTACACAAACACACCAAAACCAAAACTATATCTTAAAATCAGAATCCAGATCAGACCCACCGCTTTAAGATTACACTAGTATAACTTATTTATATTAGATATCCTATAAATGATTAAATTTACTCTAACCCATCGCTATGAATCTAGAGCCAACTTCCCAATTCTAATTCAACAACCTGAAGTTTCTTTAAGTTGGCTTACCTTGTGCTTCAATGATATTCAAGAATTTAGACCCAACTTCCCACTTCAACAACCTGAAGTTTCTTTAAGTTTGCTTACCATAAGCTTTAACGATGTTCAAAAATTTAGACCCAACTTCCCACTTCAACAACCTGAAGTTTCTTTAAGGTATATGAACAAGCAAACTAGTACCAACAGCAAAGCTTAAGAATAACTCAGTCTAAGAATTTCGATGAAATTTTACAAGTAACATACAGAATCACGTGTGAAAGCTATATTTCAACCAAGGCCCTTCTAATAAGAGCTTTGGGTTGTGTTGGGATGGGACACGCTGATCCAATTTTTCATTTTTCAGAACTGGGATCTCAAAATTTTCCTAAAATCAAGCAAGCACAGAGACCAAAAATCAAGCAATCAAGTTCATAGAATGGGAGCAATGCCCTTCCTATTCTTCATGTATAAACCGGCAAATGACAGCGACCGAAATACACACTTTTTTTATGGAATTGAATTAATTCTTTCTGAAGTAATAAGTACCTCAAGGCGAAGACGAGAGACACTGACGGCCGAACGGCGGGCTGAGAGGTGAGACGAGATCGTGAGAGCGAGTCTGAGAGGCGACAGGGTTTTCTGTAAACAAATCCTAAACCTATGTGTATATATATAACCGGTCGGTTCGACCTGATTTTTCATGAACCGGAAGCTGATCGGCCGGGTCTTAAAATTCCTCACTCGGTTCTTCCGATTATCAGTTTTTTTTTTTTGTTCTTTTGTAAACACCTAGCTAATTAAGAGCTATATTAGCACTTTCCTATTTAATCGTACAAAAACTTTTTTGCGGAGTGAAGATTAATAGACAAAAAGACATTGAAAGTAAGAACCGAAAGATTGCTTGAAACAACATGATAGAAGAAACTAGATTTAAACAACACAGAGGTAAATATATCGTCGGTTTTTTTTTTCTAAATCATAAATGAAAACAAACGGAAAAAGATTAGAGAAAATTTTGAAAATTAAAGACAACTCTTTCGTCTATTAAATTGACAAAAATGACGACTTTGAGCTAAAAGGTAGAGCTAATAGGGTTAGGGCAACTGATCGTGCATGGATTTTCTCTCGTTTCTCTTTTTTAAAATGAAATTTTCAGATTTCAAAGTTCGTTCCCTCTCTTTGAAAATTTTCAGATTTTCAAAACTTTCCCCCTCCCTTCTTATCTCTTCACCAAAAATGAAAATTTCTATATTTTTCCCTCTTTCTTTCCAATTTCCCAGATTTTTGGAATTTGCAGCAAAGAAAAGCAAAAAATGAATTGTAACGTTTTAGATTAAAGATTAAAGGACCATTTCGTTTTTGAGTTTTGATTTTTGGTTTTTAGTTTTTAAAAAATAGAGATTAAATTTTCGGTTTTTTGTTTTTCAAAAACCATTTTGAAATTCTATGTAAATTTAAAAAAAGAAAAAGAAAAAGTAATTTTAAAAAATGTGTTGTTTTGATACTAACTTTTTTTTTCTTTTTACATATCTATCTCTAAAAATTTTTTTGAGTCTTGTTATTTCTAAAATTTCTCTCTACAAATTTTATTTTTCTTTTTTTAAAATTTTCATATTTTGAATAATTATTATTATTCGTCTCTTCAAATTTTTATGTATTTTCGTTTTTTTAATAAATCAGTTTTATTTTTCTCTTTAAAAATTTAATATTTTTCATAATTTTTTTCTCTCTACAGTTTCATCTTTTATAACTTTTGATTCTCTTTGTAATCTTTTTTTTTAAATTATATTTTATTTTTCCGTTTAATTTTCTTTCATGATAACTTTATATATCTTTGTATTTATTCATTTTTTCTAAAAATTATATTTTGAATCTTGTTTTTATCTCTAAATTTGTTCCACTATAATTTTTCTCTTTCTTTATAATTTCTTTAACAAATTTTTCCTCTCAACTTTATTATTTTTTGTTTTTGTCTTTTTAACTTTTCTTTCACTATTTTTTTTTCTAAATCTTTTTATTTATATCTCTAAAATTTATCTTCCAAAAGTTTATTTATATATCTTTAAACTTGTCTCTACATTAGGGGAAGACAAAAATTTCGGCAGGGTCGAGTCCCAAAAATAGGAAATGCATGTCCCGACCTCATCCCCGTTCCCGATTCCATTTTTAAATAATTAATATATATTCATTACACTTTTTTTATACTTAAATTCTAAAAATAATTAAAAACAATTATAAATCGAGAACAATTCTTGGATCCAAGAACGAGGTGGAGATGGAGACTAAAAATTTTCACAAGTCGCACTCACATTATTGTCATCTCTCCTCTACATTAAATTTTCTCTCCCTAGTATATATTTTAAATTTTCTAACTTTTTAAAAACAAAAAACTAAAAATGGTTACCAAACATGTTTTGGTATTCTGTTTTTTAAAAACAAAAAACGTTATCAAACATATATGGTTTTTGTTTTTTAAAAACAGAAAACCAAAAACAAAAAACAAAAAACAACAAAAACCAAAAACTAAAATAGTTATGAAACGGACCCTAAATAATTAGATCTCTAATAAAATTGTCCAAAAATCGATAATCAGTTACTGTTCGACGATTAGACTTCGATGAGAGAGATAGGTGCGATCAATCGCACAGTCGAGGAATATTGGTTACACAATAGTAAAGCTTTTAAACTATTCAAAATCCGTATTTTTTTATTAAATATTCCAAACTTTCAAACAAATTTGTATTATTTTTATTAAATTTTCTAAGCCTTTACGAAAGAAAGTCTTTAAAAATATTTAAATATTTATTTTACTAAATATTCCAAATTTTTTTTTATTAAATATTTCAATCATTGATTAAATAAAGTCTTTAAAATTATTTCAAACAATTTAGTCCAATTCAAATTCAAAATGATTAACAAATAATCAAGATTTATGGATAACATATTTTTTTAATTAAAAGTTAAAATTATAGTTGAAATTGAGTAAAACAAATCTCAATCTTTCATTTAATCTCCTTAATTTTAGTTAGGAGAGATATTCAAATTTGAAATTTAGTCCAATTATCTCTCCCTAATTTTAGTTGGGATTGAAATGCAAATTTTAAAGTTTTAATTATGTGATAAAGGTATCATTTTTTCCGACCGAAGATCTCGCTCGCGCTCACGGTCACGGTCACGATCTCGCTCACAATCTTGCTCTCGCTCACGGTCATGATCTTGCTCTTGGTCAGATCCAGTCGGTCTCAGTCAGATCGCCTCAGTCCTGATCTCGCTTTTGCTCAGGGTCACTCGGTCAGATCCCACTGGTGGTCTGTGTGGAGGTGAGAGAGGCGCTGTATTTTAGAGAGAGAGAGGCTGTGAAAAAAAGGGAGGGAAAGAGGAGTTGAATTTTAGAGAGATGAGGCGTGAGGAAGATGGAAAAGAGGTGCAGGATTTTAGAGAGAGAAAGGGGGTGTGAGGGAGAGAGAGTACCACTGAAATTAATTTTCCTGGTTGAAAAAATCGGGAGAGAGATGAAGAGACAAAATAATAATAATCATAGAAGAGAGAGAAATGATAAATGTCAGTAAAAAATTAGAAAACGCAAGTTTTTAAAAGAGATATGTATAGAAGTGGGCCTAAGAACAAGGGTCAGTCAACCCATTTTCCCGTATTAAATTTTAAAAAGTAATTTGGTATGTTATAAACTTTCAATTTTCTATCTAATAAAATTTTGAATATCTAATAAGTCATTGACTTATTATACATTTTTTAAAAAAATTTCTAAACTCATTATACACATAATTGAAAGTTCGAAGAACTATTAAATTAAGAATTGAAAGTTAAGGGACCTAGTAGTTAGACAAGTTTCAAAAATCTATTAGACACGAAGTTGAAAATTTAGGAACATTTAAGATACTTTTAAGTTTCAATATATATATATATATTTTTTCCCGAAACATAATACTTAATTAATAAAAGCCAAACCGAGCATAGCTCAAATGGTTAAGATACCTAACTAGAAGGTCATGAGTTCGAACCCCCACCCCACAATGTTGTACTAAAAAAAACTTAATTAATAAAGTCTATCATTAGAAACATTGGTTCTCTCTTTCTCACTCAGAAATTATTGAAGACAGGGGACGACACGTCTTCATCAAAGTCGATTCTATGGCCGACGAAAGATGGTTTCCAATTACGTATGAAAAATTACCAAACTTTTGTTATGTATGTGGGTTGTTTGACCATGTCCAGAAAGATTGTGAGGTTTATCGAGATGAAGAGGAGACAAAAGCACAGTATGGCAAAGGAAAAAGCCGACATCTGCGAGCGATAATTGGCGTGGAAGGTGTAGGGGTTGAGGGAAAAAAATGACTCCGATAGATATCGATATAGAATCGGGATTTGGTCCGACTCATTTTTAATAATAATTATTATTTATTTTATTTAATTTTTTTAATGTTTGAATAATAATAATATAAGTTTTAATATAATTTCTTAGTTAAAAATATCATAAGCTTTAATGTAAACATTTAATTAATTTAAATATTAAAAGTAAATTCTGTTTTTTCTATTTTTTTTATTATTATTATTTTAAAATTAAGATTTTATTTAAAAAAAAACAGATTATGAAAAGATTTTTTTTCTTCTCCCTCCTCCTTTGATTTTTTCCTCGTTCAAATTCCAAAAGAAAACCGCCCATAAATCAACTTCAAAATCTTTAATAGTTAATGAAATACAACTCATAAACACTTCAAAATCAGCCATAAAACAACGTGAAACCTTCCAAAAACCTTCAACTTTCAGCAATAAAAAACAGTGAAAAATAATCCCAAATAATGGAAAAATGGGAAAAAAAGCGACAGAAATCACAATTAAATATAAATACACAAACACCATTTAACTCGCCTTACTTACCAGTGTAAGGGAAAACGTAGATTTAATCGCCGAGGTGGAGGGAGATTTAGAGTGAAATGGAGGAAGACGAATGAGGGTGGTGGTGGTTGATTCCTAGAGAGAAAATGAGATGAAGTTGAGAAACAAAGAGAAAAAAAAGGAAGAAAAAAGAGGGGAATTTTAAACTCAAAATAAATTAAAGGTTTAATTTTTTCACACATTTTAATAAACGATGTCGTTTAGCTTTTTTTTAAACAAAGTTTACGTATAAAAGTTTCTTATTTAAAAAGAATTGAATTATATATCTTAGGTATGGTATAATGGCAAAAACTTTGGGTATTGACACCCATAATACAAGTTCAAGCCTTTGAGTGTACTTTGAAATGATTTTTTTCCCTTTATTTTATTATTGTTTTTACTAAATAATCATTTTAAATAAAAGTTTTTTTTCTTTTTAAATAAAATTTATTTCGTTTATTTTTTTAAACAAAATTAAAAAATAAAAAGTTTGTATTATAAAAAAGAATTTTAAGTATCCTAAGGTCTTGGCACAGTGGCACTAAATAAAGTAAAATACAATAATAAAAATATTAAAAATAAACCATCAACTTTTAGACTTTTGTTCACGTGTATTCCTTAATTCGTAAATAATCGATGCCTTTGCATGTTCATATTATTGATGGTTATTGTCCATCAGTATTTCCTTTTTTCTTGATATTAATAGAGAATAGGCGTGGGTATAAAATTTAATAAAATGATATTCTGGATATTTTAAAAGAAGATTAAATTATTCTCTTGTCGTAATTTTTTTTTGTTAAATATGCACAACTCTTTTTGTTGTTATTATTTATATTTCTGCAAGTAATTTTTACAAATTTTCTTAGAGCTCAACGTTGGAAACATATGAGGTAAATGAGAATTTCTCAAATAATAAATACAAACATTAACTTAGTTATTCAACACTAAAATAGAGAGATAAGAAAAGCTTGTAAATTATGGATTAAGGCACGTTCGTAAACGTTGTCCATAGAGAAGATGTGTCCCCACTACTTTGAGTTATTTGACACTCTACTCCAAAGATACAACAATCCTTCAAGAGATCCTTGTGTAGCAGTAAAGTTTTTTCACGAATCCCTGACTGCTTAATCCCCTCTTAAATACTTCTTAAATAGTATTTGAAGAGACTAAAACTATGTTTTTCTAATTTAGAACTTAACCACTATTGCTAAATCACATTGGCACGAGGGAAATACCAAATCAATTTTCTAATAAAAGAGTAACTAATTAGTCAAACTTAGAAAATCTTTTAATTTTCCAACAATCTCCCACATAATTAAAGATTTTCTAAAAGTTTAACACAAGTTTGTTTTCATTTTGAAGGATAAAAATAATGAGCATTTTTACTATGTAATAGGTGTAAGTACCTTTTGGGTTTGAACCTTCACTTTAGTGTAAGTAAATGTACATTTGAAAAAACTACAGTGAACTAAGTCTTAAACTAGGTCTTTTGGGCCAAATTTCCACTTACCACATACATAGTACAAGCAATATATAAGGTACTCTTTTATCTGGGTTATGCGTTAAACGTCATGCGCATGTATCATATTCATGAGTGTTTTAAGGGATGAACTATGTTCTCATCGTAGTGACCTCACTACAACACCTACATAGGTGAAACCTCCTGTTGTTTGTGATCAACACCCTACATAATACATGCATTTGTTTCATTCAGAGTTAGACTCTTCCTTATTATCACAATTATGAACACTACCACTTTAGGAATGAGACTCATAGTAATCCTCCATTATAATAAGTGTGCTCATAGTCAAACTTCAACTTTGTTGTTACCCATTGAACCTCTTTCATGGGATCTCCCATCTTTGAGGTTGGGTGCGCATTGCGGTGACTATTTTATGGGCCTCCCATTCCCCTCAATGATTTCAACACATTCATCTCTCAAATGATTTCAATAATTCTTTTGATTGGTCAATCTATTGCTCTTTGCATATGCACTGCTTGCAAAACTCAATCAACAACTCATCAATATAAACAAATATTTCTTTACGTTGCAATATTTACTTTTAAAATATTCTCCCCACATTTTGAGATATTTTATATAACATATATACTTTAATCTCTCAAGACATTTTGCAAGCATAAATCATAACACAACAATTTGGGAAATCGGACGGAATAAGCATTTTCCAATGCCTTTTATGTTTTTTAATCACCCTTTTCAAAACTCATGTTTTCTAAGTGTTTGCTGACATCATCCAATTGCCAATTTACTTTCACTGCCCCTCCACTTATACAATGCATTCTCTCTCCGTCCTCTCTCCCATCTCCCTTTTTTCTCCTCTCATTTTTTCTTTACACTATCTCCCTTCTTCTTTTTTTTTTCGCTTGGATGTTACAAAACATCTCTTGTCTTTTTTGTTTGGGTTATACATAATCTTCCACCTTATTCTCTTTTTTTTGCTTGAGTTTTACGGAATTGCTTTAGAAGTAATTTCCAGATCTCACTCTCGCTCTCTCTCTCTCTTTGGCCATTGGTTTTTTTTTCTCTCACGTAATGATAGGGGGAATATACTTAAATTTTAATTTTTAAATTCAATTATAATTAAAACTACGAGAGATTAAATTAGATTTAAGAAGATTGAGGAGAAATTTAAGGAAACAAATCTAGATTAAATTTAAAATTTGAATAACAAATGACTAAAATTAAGGAGATTAAGGAGAGATCGAGATTATGTTTCTTTGAATTCCAATTTTCAAATTTTTAATTAAAAGAATCTTTAATCTCTAATTATTTGTTAATTCATTTTAAATTTGAATTTGACCAAACTATTTCGAAATTTATTTATTTAGTTATAATCGATTTAATCTGATTATAGTTTCATTTAAATTAACTAAAATTTATTATTTATTATTATTATTATTATTTATATAACATTTTATCTCAACTTTCTCTCACTCGCTCATCTTTCTACCTCTCTCTCGCTCAACTTTCTCGCTCAACTTTCTGTCTCTCTCTCACTCAACTTTCTCTCTCTTTATCTCCTTCCCCATCCCCATCCCCCATGGTTAGAGGKAACATTCTTCTTCCTTGAGCTTCCATCTTCGACAAACGACCTTCCTCGTCGATTTTGATGCACCTGTCGCTGGTGATTGCTGAAGGTCATCGGAATTATGGAGTCTGCTCGTTAAAAAAAAGAAAGAAAGAAAAAAGAGAAGACGGAGAGATTTAGGGTTTTTTTAGAGTAAAGAATAAGGGAACGAGAAACCTAATAAAATTTTAGTGAGAATGAGAGGAAAAAACCCATGACGGAAGAGAGAAAGAATGGGTTAATGGAAAATTATGGAAGAAAAAAAATTAATGGAAAATGAGAGAACGAAAAAAAACTGGAAAGAGAGAGATGGGGAAACAGAGGGAAAGAAAAATATTCTGGAAGAACAGGGAAGGAGATAGAGAGAGAATAAAAGAGAAATCTAAAAAATGGGTGGGGTAGTAAAAGTAAATTGGCAATTGGGTGATGTAAGCAAACGTTTAGAAAACGAGTTTTGAAAATGGTGATTAAAAAACATGAAAGGCTGGGAGAACGACTATTCCGTCCAATTTTCCCAACAATTTGATATGTATCACGCATTAACAAAATTGTTATATATGGGGGAAATTAAAACATCATAGAATACATAAAAATTAATTACCAAAAATTACTTTAGTTTCACATAATTATATTAATAAACTTTGCCAATGAGATATTTCACTTGATTTACTACATAATTTAAAATAGCAACATCACTTTACGAATTAGTACCTGATAACACATGAGTAATTAACGAATCGTATAAATTCAATTTCTACCTCCAATGATACTCATGGCTATGAATCACACATACAAAGTTATAATGAATTAATTTTCAAACCACCAAGAAAATATATATACAAATATAGCCATCATAGATCTTAAATCATCTTAAATCACCACCCTTACTCGCTTTATATAATTACCACATTAGCAAGGAAGACTTTTATGCCGAAAGAAATAAGCAAGGAAATTATAGGCCAAATTAATATATAACTTTCAACTTAATAAAACTCGTGGCTAAATAAAATTACCAATAAAATTCCCAATGTCTACCTAATTTAACATATGGGATCACAACTTAATTTTTATTTTATTTTATTTTGAAATACTCGATCTTTACCTCATTTTCCTTTAACTTTACAAATTAAGCTGTACCAAAAACAACTTTAGCTATATTTCATAATTATTTCAAATAAATGTAATTATCACGTATGAGCATCGTCAACAACAAGGGGAAAAATTATTTCCATGTAAATTAACATGCTAAATGAAGTGGCCACATAGAACAAATCATTAACATTTTAGAAACAATCGTGAGATCAGAAAAGCTATAACAAGTCACCTCACATTGCAATGGGTAAGAAACAAACTTGTTTTACTATTAGCTTATGCACAAAATACAACAATTATCATGCTCAAAATATGGTATCGATATGAATTAAAAGTCTGTACAGTGCTAAATTGTCATAAGCCACATAAAATTTTAAACATCCGTATGTTCATATATAGAAAAATTAGCTAGCCTTTTATATAGAAAGATTTCTATATTTTTAGAATAAATCCTCCAAATGTACGCAAATAATTTGCCTTTAATTAAACCAACTAATAAAATCCTCACAACCTGCCAATAGCTATTTGGGGAGCAAAATATATGCAACCCTAAAATAGTAACGAATTTTAATTTATTGAATATCTCATATAGACTAGTCAAGATATTATAATGCAACAAGTCCACGAAATTATTAATCATATAATAAATATATTAAATTCAATTATATTTAACATAATAAGTAAATTCCATTAATTCACATTGGGAGGAGTGTATAAAGATTCAATTTAAAAAATCAATCCAAAGTGTTCATGAGAGAATTAACAACTTCATCCATATTTATGGAACAAACTTAAAGGTACTGCATAAGTCTTATTAATTAGAGATAAATAATTAAAACACCATAGACAAGAAATCCATCGATATCTACGTCTCTCGTGAACATTCTAAAATAGATCCAATTAGGAAAACGAAGTTTAAATATGGTATAAATTAAGAAATTTAAGAAACCACCGTACTGCTTTTGCCCATGGTTATATATAAATCATTCTATATGGATCGAAGATCATTAGGAAACCAGTAGGATTAATTCACATAGGTAGAGGGGACACATTACCATTTTTTTTCCTTCTTCTTTCTCCATTTTAATTCTAAACACTTTTTAGAATAAATAGAGAAAAACAACTCCAATAGGTAGTTTTTGTAATTGATTGCTATTTCACAAAGATAGAGAAAATTTAAAATTAAAATTATTATAACCAAAGAAATTACAAACAACACTATAAAATTTCAAAAATTTTATAATCAGAAATTCCAAACACCTCTTCTCTATTATTGTTGGAAATATATTAGGTAAATGAAATTTCTCAAATAATAAATATAAACATTTAATTGAAGATGTGTCGAAAGATCACACCTTCCATCTCGAAAGATCAAACTAATTTTCTAATAAAAGAGTAACTACTTAGTCAAACTTAGAAAATCTTTTAATTTTCCAATACTTAGGTCCTTGTGTTCCTATCCTTCATTGATTTTTCTTGATGACCTATTTAATTATTCTCGTAAAGTACAATTATCATTATTTGTATATGATATATTATATTTTAGCAACAATTATTTTTTTAAAATTTGTTTAACAAATATATAACAAAGTTTTCTCTAATTAAAATAAATAATTTATACTTTTATTCCTCCTAAATTTATATTCTAAAACATAGTTTTTTTAAATAATTTTTTTAATAGAAAGGTACAAACTTCCAACCGGAGAAGAGGTAAGTACCGGTTGCTCTAAATAATTTAATAAATTATTTAAAAATACTGTGCAATAATAATAAATATAATATATTTTTTAATATTTTCTCCTTTAAATTTGATATTTTGAAAAATCAAATAAATGTATGAATTTGTCAAAAAAATAATAAATAAATAAATAGATGGATATATTTAATATTTTATGGAAAAATCATAAAATCACCGCTGATGTTCTTCCCTTCTTCCTCAGTCTCACCCGCCGCCCCGCCGCCGCCCGTTTCCAAATTTACTCCTTTGCTTGATATCGTCGCTGTTGATGTCCTTAATCTCTCTCACAATAATTTTTTTGGTTTGTTCTCAATTCACGAATTTTGGCCGTAATTCATGAAATGGTTGGTAAATAATTGAAAAGTAGGAAGTGATGGCTAGAAATTATAAGCATTTAGCTTGATTTTGAGATTACAATTTTGCCTTTCTCTTTCTCTTTCTCTCTCTCCCACTTTGTTTTTAGAAGATGCTTCTGGTTGCTTGCTGGGAATTTCAATCTTCAAAATTTATGAAGATATCGGTGAATTAGGTAGTGACAAGGCCTTTGTGGAAAGCTAATTTTTGGAACTCGATTGCAAGGGCTTAACTACATCAACAAACATGAAAAAAATGATTGAATCTCTGAGTTCACGAATGGGGATAAATTGTAAATTGCTGTAGAGTCACTCGAACAATTGGCAAAGCTCCTTGGGGTGTCCCTGGGTATAGAGGGGCAAAGCTCCGACTCCCATTCTCGGAAAAAAAAAGATTTTAATCATAAATATGCGATAGAAAAGCAAAACTTTCTGCAAAGTGTTGGATCGTTCAATAACAAATGATAAGAGATACTGAGGGGAATATGAAAGAGAGGACAGAAATATGGTGTTCGAAATCAGATGGTGTTTAACATTATGAGATCATAAATGGTACCGAGTTGTTTTTACGTCAGTAGACATATTACATAGATGAATTTTCTACTAAACCATTCTAAACAATACAACTTTTGAATCAGTGAAAGTCTATTCATTTTCCCATTTGCTCTACTTAAGATGTGCAGTATTATTTGAATGACAATCAAACTATATTACTAGTGCTGAAGATGAAAGAAAAAGCTCGAAAATAACCATATCTTCCCATTACTATATGCTTTTTATGAAGTTTCCTACTTTTTTTCTTTTGGGTATATTATCTCTCTTAAAATCATCTCCTCCAAATGATTGAAGTAAATTATTCATGAATTTTCCTTTATGAAATTCTTCTTATCATAAAAAAATCCTCTGTTTTTTTTATATATTTATTTTTTCACAAAATTAATGTCTATTTCAGGAGATGATATCAGGAAGGGTTTTGATCGATGAAGGTGTCAGATAAGTGGTTGAGGTGGAGCAAACAAATTTGTGGAGATTTCTTTGGTGGTCATAGACCATTTCAGTGGTGCAACTGCAAAGAAAGTTGAACCTCCAAACCAGCGATGCAACTTCAACAAATGCACTGGTGCGATTTTTGAGCTTCGAGTTTACGAAATGATGACTGATTGATTCTGGATTTCACGTATTCAACTGAAGCATATGGTTAGTACTAGTAGTATTTCAAATTATTCTAACTTCTTCTTAATCCTTATAGCCAAAGGATGAAGAACATTTGATTTTCTTTGTAGTTTATTTGGCTTTATAATTGAATTGGTATGCCTCAAATTTTTGTTCCATTTTAACGCTTTTTCCATTGGTGATTTCCCCTTAGGTTGGTACATTTAAAACAACGGTGGATACTTTAGCTTGGGATGGAACTATCTCATCAAGTGATTTTTACAAGGCTGCTTCTGCTTTTCTTCAGAGATGGAAATTGATCAACTCTGATTTTCCTTCATGGTCATGGGTTCCAGGTCAGAAACTACAATTGATTAGTTCTGATAAGGTTAAGTTTCTTCTTCTTTAGGCTAAGATATCACTGGTTCACTTTATGGAGAATTTATGGAGAATTGAAGGTATCATTGATTCTCAGAATCTCAACATATATGCCTTTTTTGTAGGTGGAAGGATACTTATCTTTGGAGAAAATATGCCTTCTGAGGCCACTCGAGGTTTGCTTCTTCCATTTTAATGGCCCTTCTTTTTCCCTTTAGCAATATGCCAATTCCATCATTCCTCATTGTTTCCTTTATTATATTTTCTATGGAATGAACAGGAGAAAGGAGAGTGCTCTGAGGAAAGAGAGACTGCTGGGTACAACAATGAGTTTCTCGATGAAGCTACGTTAGTACGTGCATTGCATTCTAAAATTGATGATCTTGATTTGTCTGTTGGTATTACACTTCTTGAGTGACATCTGCTGTCTTTGTTAATGATTCTTGTTTTTCTGAAGGTCTCATCCCCAAGTGATCACCAAGAAGTACATTACTATGATTTTCACATTCTGCACTGTGCATCATATGGTGTTCTAGTACTATACTTTCGTGCTTACTGTAGTGGTATGCAATTTTAGAAGTGGCCTGACTAACCACAGAGTGGAGATCATGCATTAGTAAAATTGTTTTTTTTTTTTGGTGCATTTGTCAACATGAAAGTTGTTGGGGTTTTGCAAATAAATAGAGTGATGCGTACTGATGTTAATATTTGTTTGTTAATATATAACTGTCCGATTTATAGCGAGTACCTATAATTAGAAATTATTGTTTTTTAAATTTGAATATGGTATTCCAAAAATGTGATTGAGCGTTACTTCTGTTTAAATAGTAAACGTATGCATTCTGAAAATGTGATTGGGTGGAACGAATTGGAAATCTTGGAATCTGGGAAATCTTGGAATATAACCATGGTTTATTCTAAGTGGTTTAATCCCCCATAAAATCTTTCAAGACCTTAATTTTTGCCAATGTAGACTAATCTTTAATAACTCTTTTTCCTAGAACCATCGTCCTTGCTCGTTTCCCTTCTTTTAAAAAGATAAGAAACTAATTTTTGTTGTTAGGTGGAAAGTGTAAAAAGAGGGAGAAATAAGAACCATCATCCTTATGCTCTTGAAACCTTGTGATCTCATCCTAGATTTGTCACTCACAAATCAGGAAAGAATGAGCATATTTGGTGTTGTTTTTGTATATTTCTGAATATTTAATTGTTCTTGAAGTTGGTGCTTTTTGGTTATAGCAATTTGATTATTGTTTGATCTGCTAGTCAGTCCTATGTATTCCATGTCACCCAGTTTATTCACTTGAGGTACATGGATCATTTTGACTATCCCTTGGCTTACAAAGCTGCAAATTCTAGAATATCACTTACATGTTGAAGTTGAGTGGTTTAATGCATGTACTTTATCTTCTTCATCAACTCATTTCCACCCTTTATCTCTTCCCTCTTTGGTGTTATATGGTTTAGGAAATATGAGGTACGGAATATCCATTTTGTAGGGTTAGATGTTCTGAAGTTTTATTGTTTTTTTTCTCAAATGAATAGCTATTTGTACGTCCATTGATATTGTAAAGGACAGAAGTAAGTTGTCCTCTAGCGGTACGATTACCTATTTAATATCCAGAGTGCATTCAGTATTGGTCCTTCTTTATCAGTTCTTCTCTGGTTAATGTTTTTGAATGGTCTTCACTGGGGGATTAGTGCATGTCTTTTGTTGGTATGAGACAGCTCTAAGCTTTCTATAGTAAATAATATGTTGAAAATAAATTTATCTTTTCTTTTCCAAAGTATCCAATAACTAGACAACTGAGATCAAAGCTTCTTATATTGAGCATTAAATAATTAAAGTTCGATATAAGTTCTTTGCATATGAACTTATAATCTTTTAAACACGACAATCTTACGATCTTTTGGAAAGTTGTATTCTTAAGTTAGAAATATCAGGAAATAAAGGAAATATAGATACTTTATTGTCTAGTATGACATGACAATGATAGATCTCCATTATAATTTAAACCTGTTTTCAAGTTTCCACTCCAAATTATCCTATAATATGTAGACTGCTGCACTTAAATGTTGATTTATGCATTTAAATTTAGGATTCTTTTGTAATTCTTTTGTGGAGAATTCAGGATTTATGCATTTAAATGTCTATAAACCATAGAAAATTCTCTTTTGTAACTACAGTCCCACGATGATTATTAGGATTGGAAAGTTGTAATGCACTAGTTTCTTGGGAGAGGCTCTCTCATCCCCTTC